CCCTGTAAAGTTTAACCCGCACTTGCCCTAGCCTCCAGCCGAACACCATCGAGGAGCGCCCCTCCATCCCCCCCCCCCAGGTTATCTTCGAAAATAAGTAATAAGCATCGTAGCGAGACGCGTGAGGCGACGTTGGAAAGGTCTCATAAAGACACATTAGACACAATCCTGACATGTTATTATATTCTATGAGATGATGCACTTCCATTATTTTGCGTTTTTAATATAGGATACCCTGGGGTAAGACGTCCCAGGTAATTTTTTTAAATAACTTTAGTCCAACATCAACTGGAAGGGAAAATTTGTGCTCCGTGCGTTCATTGGGCGTTTTACTTCAAACACCACCCCTTAAATTCATTCACTTTGATCGGACTCCCAACTAGGAAGTGGTTTGTGAAGCAACTGCAATAGGGCATTTTGCCCCACCCCTAGGGTAAAACGCCCCATGGCGTGGGACAAGAAGCCCCATACTCTAGCCAAGTACACCGACGACTGAGCTCGGACACATGTGCTTCCCAGGACAGGGTACTGTCAAAGATGACGCCCCGATTCATCACCTGCTCTCATGGGCCATCCATGGCTGCAACACTGAGTCACGAAGGGAGATATTGAAGTCAGGTACTCTCCGTAAATTTTGTCTGCTGCCAAAAACCATGAGTTGTGTTTTGTTTACGTTCAGCTTGAGGGCGCAAAGGCTAAACCAATCACAAATTGATGCGAGTGAAACTTCCATCATCCATGCGAGAGATAGTGAGCTCGTCGATACGGCCACTCACTAGGACCTGGGTGTCGTCTGCACATTGAACAACGGCGGCGTCACCTGCGTTAAGTGATAGGCTGTTGGAGAAAATTGTAAAGAGTAACGGTCCCAGGGCAGATCTTTGAAAGACACCCATGTTATTTGGAAGCGGCCGCGACAGTGCACTCTGCCTCCGGCGCCATCGGCTATAGGGTCACACTCTGGGTGTGTCCCATAAGAAAGGCGGAAAACCAGGTCTTGTACTCCAAAAACGGGCTATGTACATACGGGATCAACCTCTATCGTAGGCGGCGAGGATTCGATCTGTGACTGACGATAAGGCGGTTTCTGTGGAGTGTCGGGGGCGAAAACCGTGCTGTGAGGAGGCAAGATGGTTATGGGAGAGGTAGCGGAATAGCTGTTGATGGACAAGGCGCTCTACAACCTTCATGATCACAGGGACCAATGAGATTGGTCGGAAGTTGGTGGGCTCCGAGGGGATGCCTGATTTGAAGATATAGGGTTGACTGTAGAATGTTTCCAGGAATCGGGGATGTCGGAGTTTGTGATACACTTATTGATAATGCAAAGGATGACGTAACCGATAGCTGAGAAACTCAATTTTAGCATGCGAATGCAAATGCCATCGGTCCCGCTGGCACCGCAATGCGCATGCCGTAGATCGTGTGTCCGAGCTCGCCGAGGGTGACCTCGCGGAGCTGAAAACTACATCACACATGCACCAACACGGGTGAGGCGAACGTTCAGGTCAGTTGCGGTGTTGAAGGACCGGATCTCTGCAGCGATGCAAGGTCCGACAGAGACGAAAAATGAATTTCGGTCATCGGCGAGAAAATTAGGCTGCACACTAGGACCGTCCTTATTTCCAGCAACAATCGACCTGATCGACTGCCAAACCTTATTTGGACTCCACTCAGAAATGTCCCGCTGGAGCTCCACTCGCCGATCGCAAAGCAGCGCGGCCCGAACAGAGCGGTTCAGCTCCTTGTAGAGGGTCGACTGACGACCGGACCGCCGTAGCGTGGCACGAGGTCCCGTGTGGCAGCAGAGACGGGGGGCGCTGTAGGGTTCTGAATACATAGTTAAACGCTTGAGTGGCGCATGGTCATCGATGATGGGCAAGAAATTGGACACGAATGCATCCCCCACTGATCACTAACGGCCACAGCGGCAAATACGGGCTGCCAGTCGACAAGCTACAGATCATGATTAAGTGCAGTGACGTCAGCGCGGTTGAACGAACGAGATACAATGATCGTGGGTTTCGGATGCAGTTTTGGGACATTGACATCGACGCTGATCAATTTATGCGGACTCGACAAAACTCGACTCGGGGGCTACAGAACAGCTCCACTTTGTTCGTCATATGATTTGCACACATCTAGAAGGGAACCGGAGGTAAAAGTCGCTGTCGTCACAAGCTGGTCCAGGGAGTAGTCCGATAAGAAGCTGCTAAGTTTATGTCGTGCACGGAAGTTGGGTTCCTTCAGCAAGTCACAGTTCATATCACCGTAAATGACGAGCGAGGTTCTTGAATGCAATAAGCACTTTTTGAAGCTGAGTTTCAAGGTCGGCGATGTCGACGCACAGAGCGGTTTCGGAGTGGCGGGGAGGGCGATACAGTGAATATATGATTAGTTGACGACCTTGCTCGAGCAACGCCCACTTCGTTTCTAGCTGGCTGCAGCCGCGCTCAAAACTCGGGAATTTGATTTCCGTCGGCGCACTCCCCGTTTTCGTGGCCATTGCGACAGCGCCGTACCCGCGGCCATCAGGTCGGTCTTTCCGGCTGAGAGCATCGGGGAATCACAAAAAAGTCTATTTGGCGTTGAGGGGCGTAGACAGGTCTCCGATGAAAGCAAAACGTCGTAATCATTTTTGCGAAGCTCATAGGTCAGTTCTAATATTTTTTGGTTTTAGTCTTTGGATGTTCAAGATACCGATGCGAAAATTTCGGCCGGCGGGCGCCGGGCAGGCGATTTTCAGACGGAGCTCTCCGAAGGCTCAGTAAGTGTCTCTGGATCAGTAAGAAGCAAAACGAGCGGCAAGACCAAACTTTAAGATTTAAGTTCAGCCCTTGACCGCCGAGGCTACGCCTTGGGCAATAAAAAATGTTTCGGTGTTCACTCTCGGGCTACAGTGACGTCACTTCGGGCAATATTTCTAATATTGCCCGCTACCCCATGCATTAATTTATATATTACTCGAGGTACAGGTTTACGCGATAACTGTATGTTTTGATATAATCTATTTAACGGATGCATTAGTTTGGGTATAAAAGTAAGTATATATTTTTTTAATTTGGGTATATTTGGACATTTATTTTATCTAACTGTAATGTAAAATAGCAATACACGCGGGGCGTTTGATACTTTTGTTTGTTAAGCCCTTATTCAACTCAACCCTACCGCTGCTCTACTCCTACCATACCCCTACACTACTCCTAATATATCCCTATCCTACTCCTACCCTACTCCCATTCTACTTCTACCCTACCCCTACTCTACTCCTACACTACCCCTACCCTACTCCTACTCTACACCTACCCTACTTCTACTCTACTCCTACCCTACCCCTACACTACCCCTACCCTACACCTACTTTACCCCAACCCTACCCTACCCTACTTCTACGCTACAACTACCCTACTCCTACACTACCTCTACCCCTACACCAACCTCTACATCTGCCTCTTCTCCTCCCTCTACCCTACCCTACCCTTCCCTACCCTACTCAACCCTACCCTACCCTACCCTACCCTACCCTTCCCTACCCTACTCAACCCTACCTTACCCTACCCTACCCTACCCTACCCATACCCATGCTATACTCATACTCGACCGAAGCATTGTACCAAATTTGAGCGCAATCGACCCAGCCGTTCTTGAGATAAAAAGCCGGCTCCGTTGCACGGGCGCACGTGGAAAGTGAGACTTCAGTACAGTTGTGCTAGCCACCCTTCTAAGTCTCTGTGTACCAAATTTAAGCGAAGTCGGCCCAGCCGTTCTTAAGATGTACATAGGATTATTCCCTTACACGTGCGCACGTGCAACAGCACCCTACACATGGAAATGCATCGTCCAGGCCAGGGATGTCCTACCGAGTCACCGACAGTCCAAGTTTCAGCACAATCGGCTCAGTAACGGCCGAGATATTGCATTGCAAGAATGAGTTTATTTTATTTATTGGTGAATCCCCTTGGTGAGCGGTGTTTTGCGTCGGCGTTCGTTGTCAAAGTTCAATGACCTGCCGGCTCTGATTCTTTTCACTCAGTTTTGCAAGCAAACAACTGAGCGTAAAGCACGTGCCTTCTGCTCGGCGCCGGTAGGGGCCCCACCACGTGCACGCCACTGAACCCACACCCTCGAAAATTTGATACGACAAATGAGTGAGCGCGTCCGACTAGGCGTGAACATTTCATCCCCGTAGCCCTCACCGTTCCCGAACAATAGCGTGTTTTTGCCAATTCTAATGTTAACCCAATGGGCACGCGAGCACGCGCCGGCGCCAAGGGCGCACCCTCGGCCGCATCATGTCTAAAATTTAATATGAGCTTCGTGAGAAGGTGGCCCACAAATTCAAACACAAGCTATTGCAGTGTGTACAGTGTACCCCCACGCAGGAGAGCTCCATTCAGGAGCTCTATTCAGGAATCAGGATCCAGCGATGCAGGCGTAACAGATCGTTTCAGGCGGCCACCGTGCTGGAACGGCAAACATAGCTACACCTCTGCCGTATAAGAGCGCTTTCATTCGTCATCGTGACCTTTCACCTCAGAGCCATGTTCTCAACAATTACAGTATGGCGCTAACAATCGCTGCATCGTTATCGTATCGGGCGGATGCAAATATCAGTGATCGACGGAGGGACGCGCGTTTCGCTAATTGTCTTAGTTCCGGCGACGCCGCGCGGCAATGTCATCATAGAGTACGCAAAAATAAATGCAACGGAGACCATTAGGCACGCTAAACAAACTCAAAAATCCACTGGTGACTGAATACGTGTTTAGTGAGGGAGCGCGAGCTACCCTCTTGTCAAAAAATATGTGAGTCCGTAGGTCGTTAAGCAAACACGCTGCTACTGGATCGTCACACATTCACGCATTGTAACGTGTATTTGTTAGTCCTGCGCTTACCAGAAACCTACGGTTTGCAAACACGTTGGCACGGGCCGACGTGGCAGGAGCCAGCAGTCGCTGCGCTGACTGCTGCGGCGGGCGGCGGCGGCGGCCAGAGCAGCCATGGCGGCACGCGGCGGTCGGCCCACCTCGCTCGGAGCTGTGATCTCTGAGGTCAGCGACCATGCCTGGTCGGCCACCGGCATCGGCGGCTTGTCTCACGCGCACGGCGCGCGCCTGCCGCTGATGCGACTGCTCTGGCTGGTCCTGTTTCTGGTCGGGCTAGCGCTAACGGCCATCGACGTACGCAGGGTGGTCCTAGAGTACCTGAGCTCGCCGCACGTGACCAAGACGGATACCAAGTACGAGACGACCGTACCGTTTCCATCGGTGACTGTTTGTAATCAGAACCAGGTGGACTGCCTGCTCCTGCTGAAGCACTCAATGGATCCGCGCTACACGGCTGTTCTGAGTCGCGTGCTGATACTGTCTGACTGCCTGGAGGAGGATGCGCTTTCCTGTCCTCTCGTGTGGGACACTGTGGCCAGTTCGGCCAATGAGCAATTGATCGACGACACAGAACCCTTTTGTCTGGGGTGTGGACGCTGCAAGGGCCTCAGAGACCACATCGCAAAGGAGCAGGAGTTTAACAGATCGGTAGAAAGCATAACAGCGTTGTACCGTCACATGGGATGTCAGTCGACCTGTCTGGCGGACAGTGCTGACGAGGAGCCTGACGAAGACGACGGGAGGGGTTCGGAGAGAAACCAGCCGCCAGATGTAATGGCTACGGCAACTGGAGGAACTGACACGGCTGGTGGCGGGGATCGAGTGGCCGGCACTAATTCATCAACGAATGAAGACTCCACTACCGAGGATGGTATCTCTGGAAGAAACGGCACAATGTCGGGAAACACCAGGACAGAAGATGGAGCCATCAGTGGCAATGGCACTTTGGCCGGAAGTACACCAGACGCCATTATTAGAGTAAGTCAGCACATTCCTTATACAAGGGATTAGTCGGTTGAGTTTATAACTATTTAGCTCGAAGTCCTAAAACACTTAACCCGCGCCCCACTGGGGGGGGGCTATTTATGTATAGCCCCCCTCCCGTTTTTCTGCAATAACTTCCAAACCGCTTGACGGATCAACGCCAAACTTTCAGTACCTTCGGCTGCATCAATTTGACACCTTGTGTCAAAATTTGAACTTCGTAGCTACCATAGATCAGCCAGAAATGACGTCAGAGTGACGTCATGTTCGTCCGATTTCGACGCAAAACATTGAACCACGGCAATCGCTCCCAAGAGCTCAGTTTTTAAGCTAAATCCAATTTCTTTGCATGAAAGGACTCAGAAGTGACCGCGCTATCAAACTGCTGTCTCGGATTTTCAAAATATTGAAAATTTCGATTTTTTTATAATAATATTCAAAATTTATATTTTTATATTTTTTCAAAAAGTTTTTGACAAACCGGAATATATGTGACTGAACGCATGATTATGACTAACTTTAGCAAGTTTTAGCTAAATATATTCAAAAATGGCCACGTTCTACGAATTATTGCAAAAAATTCACAATTATTAATTTTTCAAATCAATTTTTCAGTAGGTACGTGTTTGACATCGTACACCAATATAAATGGCACCATCGTGTTCCTGAGCTCAAACCGCATCCAGTAGACACCTTTTTTGTTGAAAAATTTTATCTTCAAAATTTGACCTTTTTTTACCTGAAAGTGACCTGACCTAAGCTAAATTTGACTCAAAATGACCTCGAATGACACAGACGACATCAAATTCGAAATCTATGGCCTAAATGGACCATATAACATGTGTCACGTGACCGACGCATGATATAATATTTCCGTGACCTGTGATGACCTGACCCTGACCTGAAAATCAAAGTACAAGTTTGGTACCCTCAAGGTATCTAGAGTATCTGTTCACGAGTGTGGAAACCAAAAATGAGCCTGATCTGACTTGTAAGACGGCGGCCAGAGCCCAAAATATGAACAAGCCAAAATGCTAATAACTTTTACTTTGACCTGACCTGTGACGTCATCAGTGACATCGAAGTCAATGAAATTAGGTTTCGCTCGACAGTTTTTCCGGGGCTATCAGACGTCGTTTGAATTTTGACGATCGGCCCAGTAGTTTCGGAGTTAGGAGGGGGGCTATGCATAGCCCCCCCCCCTCCCCAGTAGGGCGTGTTATACACAGACCCCAGTGGGGCGCGGGTTAATCGGAGTCCAACAGCCAGTTATCCTCCTACGACTTTTTACGGGACTATGGAGATAAAAGGTGAGCAAGTAGGTAGGTACTCGCTTGTTTAACCCACGCCGGGCTGGTGCTTGGCGCACTCCGCGCCGGTTCCGGGGTGTATACCCCCTTCAACTCGGCTCCTGGGCCTTGTAGCGACGTGCAGTAGCCGGCATTCGAAAGGCCGTCAAATATCAGGTACAAAACACTTCATTCAATTTCAGGTCAAGTCACAGATCAGGCCAGGTCACGTGAGATTATCAACGGTTTAATTTCGCATATTTCGATATTTGTTTCAAATTGGCATTATAGGTATAGCTCGGGAACGAATGGAGCTATATACGACGCATCCGATACCCAGTTATTTTACATCATTTTCTGGTCAACGTTCCAGATTTGACCTAAGGCTAACGGTTCATCCTCCAGAGGACAAATAGCTGCCAAAATTGACGTCTTTGGGCAAAGTTTTTCTTTCATCTGACTATAGAAAAGGCTTTTTAATGTGCCCTGGTGACCTTCAGCGACCTAAGTCTAAAATTTTCACACATATGCTGATGCATAAAAATTGTGCTATATATAGCGGCGTTCCGGCGTCGCCGTTTTTGAGATAACTTTTTGCTGAAAAAACCCATGCAGGGTGTCAACATCCCCGCTCTGGTGCGAGTTATATCTTTCCCGGCGAGTACATCTTGTGAATTTGGTGATTCTTGCGGACACACTGGTCCTCGCATGCGGGTTGCGAGTTTGCGGGTTTAAGTTTGCGGGTTTTAAGTTTGCGGACATAATACTAATTCATAGAGTGATGAGACCGTTCCCTTATGGTACCATCATGAATGCAGTGAAGCCGGTACACCAGAAAATTGTATATAGTCGCAATACCAGCGCAACGAACCAAAATTCGACTCCAACGAAAAACCCGCAAGCCTCGCAGAACTTGCAGACCTCGCAGCGAGGAAAATCGAAAGTTGGCTGAAAATCAGCTTTTGGAATGCGATGCAAGGTGGCTCGCAACTCGCAAGCTACATGCAGACTCGCTTGTTAGATGGTAGTGTGGGTCACTCAGCTTAGATTGCATTATTTTATTCTAAAGAAACCCGAAAACCCCAAAACCCGCAACCCGCATGCGAGGTCCAGTGTGGGGCGGCCTTAAACGCTTGTTGAATATATGCCTGGCCTGGTAATATGTATAGATAAATATAGTTTCAATATTTTGATGGACAGATTGACAGACCCGCAACGAACAATAAGCAGAGCATATCACGTTGGTCCGACCCTCATCGGTTGATATTGGGTGACTTGGAGAATTCAAGATACCGAAGATACTACGTGCTTAGTGCCTACCAAAGCCGGACATGGTTCACACACAGAAATATTGAGCGATGTCAAGTTCAATATACTCGTAAATAGTTCAATTAGCTTCAAAGTTCTGCTTCACTTAGTAAAATATCTTTAGTTTAAGTATTTTCGTGATAAATAAGCAAGGTATCCGTCGCACAACGCCATAATAAGTAAAGGCATCAAGAATAAGTTTGTTTTTTTACGATGTTTATTGGTTATCTAACAAACATCGGCAGTTTTATTACACCACACAAGCATCTTTACGCAAAACAGGATAATGTAACAGCATAACAGATGTTCAAATACCTAACTGATATGTTTCCATGCAAAGCAAGTGTATCCATACGCGAATGAGTGTTGTGTCGCACTGGTAATTGCGGTACACATCCAGAGCACCGTTCGTTTACGTCAACCAGTGTAAATTTAGCGAAATTTTGAGCTATGTGCTGACGGCGGCGGCGCCATTTTCGCAATCTGTCAGTTGTGCGCCGGGGACCGCGGGGGCCGGCGGGGGAGTGTTGTGGCTGCAGTGCGCAGAGTGGGTTTGCCCATTCTTGTGCGATCAGTGAGATAAAACAGTGCTGTGGTGTTTATCTAGTTCGATAAAAAGCTGAGTAATGAGTGACTAAGTGAATAATAAGTGAAATACTGCATTGTGGTCATCGTCCGATAACTGCAATCAAGACCGAGTCTGAAATCTGAAGCGGAGCGACATTGGAGGAGCTGCTGGAAATTATCCAGCTTTGTCGGAGTGCTAAGGTGGGCTTGTAATTTTTCAACTGAGCTGCTGTCGTGTTATGAAAATAATGGATGCACTTTCATGCTTTTCTAGGGTTAATTAGGTATAGGTATGCTAATATTTTGCCAGATAGGCAACAGAGCGCCGATGGCTAATTAAATGAACGATAATTTTGGCACAGTGAAGTAGTGCGTACAGATGATATATTTTTCATTTATTAATTAATTACGGGCAGTTGACGGGAAACAGGCGGTGGCTGCGACCTGTAGCGGCGCCCATGCGTTGTGAAATATCAGCTTATATAGGGTGAATAGGTCAAAAACGCCCCCATTAAGCGCGAAACCTTCTGACACTCAACCCAACCCAGATTACTCAAACCTTTGGGCACCATAATGTAGCTCATTCTTTTTACTACGCTTTGAGACTAAGAAAAGACACTTGCGTGTGGTATTTAACCCCCCAAAAAGGTTTCCGCATACCCTTACAAAAGGGCGTTTTGCCCCACACCCTGGGTAATACGCCCACACCCATGTGCAAAGCGCCCCCACCCCATCCATCAACAGCAAATGATGAACATGGCAGAACTTGACGTCATTCTGACGTCATTTGTGGTCAACCTATCATAGCCTTTGGAATAAAATGTTGTTGCAATGTGTAAAATGGATGCCCGGAGGAGTCTTGAAAGTTTGGTGACGATATCTGCAGTCGTTTAGGATATATCAGCAAAAAAGGACAGGGAGAGGCCTTTTCGGCCCCGACCTACAGGGCGCTACCCTGCACTCTCACCACCGTGCAAAACGCCCCCCTTTCAGAAAACTGGGGGCGTCTTGCCCCATGCATCGAGTAGGCGTCTTTCCCCATCCACTCCATTTCCGGTCAACAAAATATTGACAAAAAAACGCGCCACTAACGCTGCAGCATAACAAATTCAACAGAATGACAATAAAACGCAGTTTTGAGTGATGTGCACAATAGCAAGTTTTGTGATATAAAGAGGGCATCAAAAGCTTAGGAATCTTCTGTAAAAACAACAAAAACAACACCCAAAACCAACATCAGCACCTACCCGCGCTGCTCCTCAAGACGCAGAACCGGAAATAGAGAACTACGTAAACAAGCAGCTGACTGTTCTGAAAGACAGGATAAAACACCTATCCGCCGATAAGATCTACGATTTTTTAGGGGAGGCGTTTAACCCAGGGGTGCGTTTTCCCCACAGTTACCCTACATGATAAGGTATATACGCTAATCTAACTTTTATTTCCGTCAGATGTGATGTCGATTCTTAACAATAAACGACAAACAAACAAACGTATTTGCAGCATGGGGTAGGCATTGAGCATCACAATGTTTCGTTGCATTTAGCTAGGCTCGCGGCTGGCGACAACGTCCCGCCGCGTGTCGCTTGCGTTACAAATTTTGCGGGCCCAACATTAGATTTACCAGAAAAAATCGTTATAATAACCGTCATATTTGTGTAAATTTACCATCATGAATTTGTGTACGATTACCACGCGAGTGTTCCTTTTGGTACTTTTTACCAAAAACACATATTTGTGCGTAAATGTAACGCGAGATCCGCGGTAAAGTTACACTGAAAGCGGTTCTCCTACACAATAGTGAAGCACTCCGAAGCTAGCAAAACACACATATAAGTGTTTTTTTACCCAGAAAACAGAGTAATTTTACACCAAAAAAATGTTCCTTTTGGTACTTTCAATTACACCGTTTTTTCCGCTCAATATTTCTGTGTGTGTTCTTACCACTCAACTGACTTCAACTGGCTGCGACTATTCCTACCCAGAGCAAACCCTCCTCGCCGAGCGCCGGAGCGACTTGAACCCGGGCTCTCACTACCGGGAGTATATACCTACAATGGGAGTCCATTGCGCTTCCAACTGAGCTAAATATAAGCTATAAGACAGGAATCAGGATCGAATGCTCGTATACCCTACAGAATGCACTGTTGTACACCTATATCACCATTTGTACGTTCTGACTGACACAAATAAGTTAACCAATGCCGTCTCCGCCGTGCAGACTGCGCGAGTGAAGCGCAAAGCTTCACCCGATGATGGCGGGCCATCCGGAGGCGACTGGCAATCGAGCATCGACGCCTCGTCGGTGCTGACACCCAGCCAGACGCACGACGCCTACATGGAGTTTCTGTTCGAGTACCTGTCGCTGCCGGAGGAGCTGCGTGCTGCCGTCGGGGTGCAGTTCTCGGACCTGGTTGGCGCCTGTGTCTACTCCGGCACCGACTGCAAACAGGCGCGGTGAGTGGGGTGGCGTCCGTATCGACTGCCCGGCTCCCTCGCGCTATCAGAGCATTGCTCAGATGAGTGGAGGCGGCCTCCACTAAGCTCCACTGTTGGAGCTCATAAGGAGCTGGGTGATGGTAGTTGATGTTAAACCGCGCCGGGCCGGGGGTGTGTTTGAACACACACCCTTTGTGTTTTTCCCCCTGCGGTTTTTCGCGGATATATTAAAAAACGGCTGCGCTACACCTGCTTGTGCATCCTTTCTGCACATGTTCTGAGCATTTCAGACTCAGGTCGCTCAAGATCAGGTCACCAGGTCACGTCAAGTGACCTCACCTCAGAAAAATGAGAATGCTCGTCATATGTACACCGACAAAATGATTGCCTTGCAACTTTCAGCGATTGATAAAAGTAACAGTATCTATAAAATGTTTATCTCGGAATTTTCCTAGGTCAGGTCAATTTTGCGGCCTCTCCATTTTAACCCTCGCCGGCACAGGGGGGGGGGTTGATGCAACCCCCCTAAGGTTTTTCGCGAATAACTCGCGTAAAAAGCGGCCGATCGCGACGAAACTTTCAGTACCCTCGCATTGATCCATTTTACACCTACCCTGAAAATTTCATGACCCTGACCCAAATGACCTTTGACCTGTGACCTCTTTTACGAGACCATGTTTGGCCGGAATCGCGATTCGGCGTATGTCGGCTCGCATTAGCCGCGCGTTTGCAAGCTTTTCGTGGTTTCAAACGTTCAAACATGTGATTTGATGTTGCTTCCATAGTCCATACATTAGGGTGGGTGTCAAGGTCACCTGGAGGTCAGGTCAGGTCATTGACCTTTGGTGACCTCGGGTGACCTCGGTTCACTTTTTCGAGTTTTACATGTTTCTAGGCTAGTTTTTGGAGCTGAATTCGAATTTAGCAACCATTTGAACATTTACGAAGTAGTTTTGGTGCCTTCGTAACATGTTACGAAGCTGTCAGAGGCGGTTGACACGTATTACGAATACCCGTCACAACCTCTACCGGTTGACCTGACCTGCCCTGACCCGACCTGGTTTAATTTTTTTTCCCGATAATATACATTTATTACACTCAGATCACCTTATCACATTCACAGTCATCCGACATCATCCACTCCAATGATGCGCCACCAGTGGCTCATCAGTCGCATCAGCTGCCTCAGCTGGCACGACGCGCAACGACAACTCCCCCCAACAGCACACACGCTTCCCACTATCACTGCACCGCTGCAATGGTTGCACTCTTGGTTGCACTACACAGGTCAAGGCACACATGGCACCACCGCGGGACCGGTCTTTGCGGCACTGCTCCAACAGCGAACAGGCAGCCAAACAAGTCAGAGTGAGCAAAACAGCGAGGCAAGGTCCGGGTGAAACGTTCAACACAAGATAAGGATAACAACACCGCGAAAAATACAAATTATTTAACAAAGCCCAGAGGTTTACATTTATCAATACAGAACAGTTTTTATATCAACTTTTATCAGCTATCAATGACTATCAACCATCAATGACACCGGCGACGCAGCGGGCGACGCCGGCGGAAGACGCGCCGGCGGCGACTCGGCCAGCCCGGTCACCGGGGCGATCGAGGCGGCGGCGGCGCGACTGGAATTTCTATTATTTTCTACTTTGTTTTGCTCCTTTCACACATCACATGCAAGGCAAAACAGCCGCTAGTCCCTTCCCGCGACCGGCGAGCTCGTGACCTTGGGGATCATCCGGGTGTTTGTGGCATGTTCGTTTTATAAATATGATGTGTATGTTTATGTATACTATGTATTTATTGTATGTATTTTATGTATGTATTTTAAGTGTTTTTACGTATTTCTATTCCTCATGCAGATCAGCCCACATCATGCAATGATGCAAGCTGATCTCACATGAGATGCAAATTGCATGAAGATACAATCTACATGCCTACAAATGCATGCAAATGCATGCATTTGCAGGCAAGAGTGCTGCAAGTGTGCAGCTGTGTTATGGATTGACGTACAAAGATTTGTGTAAAAAAAAAATCTACGCCAGTTAATGTGCATCGTTTTGTACGACGATGCTTTTTAGTTTTCCCCACTTTTTCTCGAATTCTATTTGTTTGTTTATGCGATTAGCTGCTTGTTGTTCTATTTCTACAACAATTTTCAGTTTGTTCATTAGGTGTGTCACCTCTGGTGTGATATTTCGTAACCTTGCTTCATATATGACCATTTTTGCTAAGGCCAATATATGTGTCTGTTGTGGATTTGCATCGATTAGGAAGAACCAAGTTTTGCTGTTTATAGGGAGGCGTATTTCGTACGGATCTAAAATTCTGAGTTTGATATCTGCTATAAAGGACTTTACTTTATTACAATGCCAGAACATATGAACCAGCGTTTCCGGTTCTACTTTACAGAACGTGCAAGTATCTTCGTCTTTAATGTGTATAGTCTTAAGGTAGGTATTCGTTGCTACTATGCGATTTATGAGTTTATATTGAAACATTATCAGCTTTGCTGACTTTGTGACCTTTTTTAAGATTGCAAGGCTATTTTCCTCAAAACCCCCAATATCTCTGATCCACTTTGCTTTTAGGCGTTCATTAGCATTCCGTATTTCTAACTGCTTATGTTTTACATTTGCTTCGTACGCTTGACGTGAAAATTTTTCATTGTTTAACACCATGCACATTCTATGTGGCATTATCGGCCCAAGTGTTTTATCTATTTGTTGGTTTTTTACATAATCAGGTAAGCTCCTGATTAAGCTCGAATAACATAAAAATGTCATCTTCACGTCGTAAGCATTTTCGAGGCTCTCTTTGGTATGTAAGGTCCCTGTATTTTCGTTAAACAAATCATTTATGAGCCGAATTCCTTTATTGTACCAGCTACGTATTATTGAACATTGGAATTTCGTGTAATCTGAAAATCATATGCTTTCGAAAAGTACGTTATCCTCATCAGGTACGTATACTCTGCTAAAGTTTGCAAAACTTTTTAGTACGTCGCTCCAAAATTTGTTTTCAACCTTCTTCATCAATTTCTCTAGTTGTTTACTGCCAAATTGAAGCACGTTTTCAATTGGTGGTAGTTCAATTTCGACTATACGTGACCATGATGCGTTTGATGTCATTATTCTTTTGAGCCATGTCAGCTTCATGCTGGCGCAGAAGGATTGGACATCTATCATGCGAAGACCACCTGCGGTAAAGTTTTGTATAAGTTTCGCGCGTTTTATTGGATCTCGCTTACCACCCCAAACAAATTCGAATAAAATTCTCTCAAGACTTTTAAATTCTTTTCTAGAGGGGTCAGGTAGGGCCATAAATAGATGAACTAATTTTGACATCAACAGGGACTTGACGACTGTTATTCGCCCTAACGTTGTAATGTTTCTTCTACGCCAATGTTGAATTTCTGTTTGAATCTGAGTGATTTTCGGTTCGAAATTGACCTGAGTAATGTTTTTGTTATTTTCATTGAACGTTATTCCTAATATTTTCAATTGGTCAACAAACTTGATTTGGCTGCAACCAACGTTGTTTAACTGCCTTGCGCAGCCAATCCGAAGACAACATGTTTTGTCAATGTTTAAGTTAAGTCCTGATGCTTCTGAGAATCTTTGCAATTCTTGTATAGCTCCTTTAACGCATTCTGTTTCATTCTTTAGGAATAAGATGGTATCGTCGGCATATTGAGAAATTCTTACTTCCGCACTGTCTGAAATTTTGATGCCGGTTACTTTTCTTGATTTCTTGATTTGTTGCGTAAGCAGGTTCACTGCGAGGTTGAAAAGGTAGCCCGAAGTCGGGTCTCCTTGTCGGATTCCGCAATTCAGGTATATTTTATCCCCCAAATGCCCGTTTAATATTATTCGGGAGAAGTTATCGTTGTTTAAATATAGAAGTTTAATGATTTCTATGAAATTTGGTCCAAAGTTGTACTGTTTTAACACTTCCAGTATCATCTCCCAGGAGAGCGAATCAAATGCGGCTTCAAAGTCAGCAGACATAACTAACCCTGATTCTTTTCTGTTTGAAAGGAGATTTATCACGTCATATATTAAGCGTGTATTTTCACCTATGTATCGTCCTTTGATGTAGGCTGTTTGACATGGGTCTACTAGCTTTCCTATTACATTTTGTATTCGTGCCGAGATAGCTGACGAAATTATTTTGAAATCAACATTCAACAACGTTATTGGGCGCCAACCTTTTAAAGTGTTGAGTTGTTTTCCGGCCTTGGGGATCATTGTTATGATCCCCTCTCGATGAGAAAGAAGGGTTTTGCCAAGTTTGGTACAATATATAAATGCTCTGTAAAGGAAGGGCCCCAATTTCTGCCAGAATTTTCTAAAGAAACATGCCGTATACCCATTTGAGCCTGGGGATTTTCCTTTGTTCATTTTTTGCATTGCCTGTGTTAATTCTTGATAAGAGATCGTGTTCTCAAGGAGTGCTCGTTCATGTGTGTTTATTTTTTCATTGATATTCTCAAGTGCGAGTTTTTCAACTACTTCTTTGGGAGCACTTTTTATTTTGTTAAATTTATGGGTTAAGTCGTTGGTGAAGGCCTTTAGGATTTCTGACGCTTCTGTAATTTTATGATTGTCAGAGATAAGCTCTGCTGGGCTTTTCCTCATTGCATTTCTTTTCTCTAAACCGAGGAAATATTTAGATGACCTTTCGCCTTCTTCGTGCCATCTTATTCTGGATCTTACAATTAAACCGTGAACAATAGGCTCCCTAAACTTCTCTAGCTCCTCCTTACAACTCTTAAGCTGTGAGCTATTTTCTTCCGATCTGTTGATTGTAAAAGCTGAGCTTGCTTGAGCTACCTTCGTAATTAATTCTTTTTCTTTTAGCTTGAATTCTCTTGCTTTAATTTTTGAGTATTTAACAGTTTCTCCTCTGATGAGCATCAGAAGTGTTTCATAAAATAGGTCATCACCTATTTTGAATTCTATTTTGTTGAAGTTTTCTGCATTTGAAAGAAATTCTTTAGTGTACAG